GAGAGAGAGAGAGAGAGAGAGAGAGAGAGAGAGAGAGAGAGAGAAAGAGAGGGAGAGACTGGGGTGAATCCAGGGCATCATGCTTCTTAGGCAAGTGCCCTACCACTGAACTACAATCCTAGTCCTTTTTATTTTTTATTTTGAGACAAAGATTCATTAAGGTGCTGGTTGGCCTTGAACTTTCGATCCTCCTGCCTCTGATTCCTATGTAGTTGGGGTTATAGGTATGCACCACTGCACCTGGCTTTGGGTTTTTCTTAACCAAACCATATAATTTCTGTATTTTAATTGGCTGATTTAGGTCATTTTTATTTATTTATCTATCGATCTATTTATCTATTTATTTATGTATGTATGTATCTATCTATCTATCTACCTATCTTTTTGAGACAGGGTCCCACTATGCAATTCAGACTGGCCTTGGGCTCATTTTGTAGCCCAGGCTGGTCTCAAACTTGCAAGAATCCTCCTGCCTCAGCCTCCCAAGTGCTGGGATTACAGGAGCGCACCACCACACCCTGCCTGATTTAGGTCATCTATATGTAAAATAGTTATCAATATGGTGAACTTGAAACAAAATTAGAAGACAGAGAGAAGAAAAGGGAAGGAGGGAAGGAAAAAATATACCCCAAACTGAGAGTCAGGAAACCAGGTCAGAGCCCTAACTCTGTACTTCCCAGCTCTAACTAGGTGAATCTCATAAACCCCTGAGCCTTAGGTGCCTTGAATATGTTTGTGAGAATAAACAAGTTATTTGGGGCCAGAGATAAATAGCTCAGTGCTAGCATGCTACAAGGCCCTGGGTTCAATCTGAAAGAGAAAGAGAGAGAGGGAGAGACTGACTTGTAAACTGCATGTTCTGAAATCATAAAGGATTAAAGGACCGTCCAGGACCAGATGAGCTGCACGAACATCCATACAGCAAGGTTTGAGCACTTCAAAGAAAGAGCTAGGTCTCACTCACTTCTATATCTATAGCACTTAGTCCTGTGCATGGCACCTGAAATATTTCCAAGAGCGTTGAGTGAATAAGCCAAAGAGATGAGTTACTTTGAATAAATGGAAGAATGACACTGTGTGTGAAAGACAGGGGAGTGTCTGTGACAAGGTACTAAGTGGGCATAGCACTGCTGAGGAATGGGTCAACACTATTTAATTCCTTATTAAATGATGTTTTAGTACCAAGAAAGAATAGTTTTATGTGTGCATTTGCATTTATATATTAATTTATTTATTCATTCAAGTGTTTAGTAAGTGCCTACTGCATGCCAAGTATGGTTCTAGGTCATGGGCATACAGATCTCTTGCCATGACTATCCCCTGCAGTAAGTAAAAGTGTCAGCTGAGCCTTGCTTGATCCTTGGGGAAAATGCAAACATATTCCTACAGAGTTATTGACTGATAAAATTAAAAGTTCTCTTTGGGAAAGTTTGTACATCAGGTTTTCTTCACTATAGCAAAATACCTGAGGTAGTTAACTTAGCAAAGATTGGTTCTGGCCCACATTTTGGGGAATTCAGTCTGTGACTCTTTGCTTGGAATGGGGGCACAGACAGCAGTGGAAGGTGTGCATTGGAACAAACTTCATATCCTAAGCCAGGGTGCAAAGAGGGACAAAGAAGGGGCTGGGACCGCACAGTCGCTTTCCAGGGCACATCCACAGTGACATTGGGACCTCGTGGCCTAGCTCACAAAGTTCTGTGCCTTCCCAGTGGCCCCACCCTGGGGGCCACATCTTTGGCACATGAACCTTTAGGAGGTACTCAGGAAACTATAGCAGAAAGTAACTTTTCCTAATTGCCTTTTCCTGTTTTTAGCCATTAATGTTTAGTTTGGGAGCTTAACATTTAATGATTCTTAAAAAGCGAAAGGTCAAGTAAATGTAATAGTAGGTAATGGATGAAAAGGTGGATAATTAGTCAGATTGATGGCAAGAAGTCTAATCTTTAAATCAAACTGATGATGTCACTAGAAAAGAGGGTCAGTTAGAATCTGGTATCTGGCAGTTACTAGAGGAGTTGTGACTGGGTAGAAGGTACCCAAGAGCCACCCTGGGGCCCTTAACTTCCAAAGCAGCCAACATTGTCTGTCTAGGCCTATGTACCAGAAACAAGGACATCTTGGGACTGACAGTTATGCAGAATGGAGAAGGACAAAGCCGCACAGTTGCTAACTCCTGCCTGCGTGAAGGCCATCATCTCCAGGGTTGAGACTGCCCAGCTTGCTCGGGCTCAGGAGGTAAGCTGTGAGATGAGAGAAGCACCACTGTATTGGGGTCCAACATAGAGGCTGGGAACTGACCCTATGTTTAAGCAAGATTTCATGTATGGGTCCTTGAGTAGGGGTGTCCTGGGGTACTCAGCAAATGGGTTTTTTAGACAGATATGAGTTCAAAATACCCACGTTCTGGCTTCTACAGGGTAGGCTGGGTCCTACCGCTGGGAAGGGAGAGCCCTGTACAGGTAAGTGGCAGGCACACCAGGATGGCCCATGGTGCTGGGTCTGAGGGGTGCAGGAAGGTGCCCAGATTTCTTGATTCAGGGTCTATTCTTGGCCAACTGCCAGAACCCCCTAAGTTTAGTCATGGGAGTATTCAGGAGTTACGGCCAAAGGTTTGAATCACTCTGAGCTTCTAGTGCATTTTTGACTTGTGCCTCTGATCCTGATAGTTTCTTGTCCTGAATTCTGAAATGCTTGCTGTGGATATGTAGTGTCACTGAACTTCTTGTTTGTTTGTTTGTTTGTTTGTTTTGAGACAGGGTCTCACCATGTATCAGGCTGGTCTTGAACTTACTGTGATCCTGTTATTGGGTAGTTCCTTTAGAAATAGTTTGCCAAACAAAAGTATTCCAGATCTTTCTTGTCTCATAGAATTGGATGAGACAAGCCAAAAACAGTGCCAAAAATTTATTTAAAAATGAGGAGTGAAGGTGTAAGGGAAGAACTAGCCTCTGCAGAGAAACTGGGGTCAAAGAGAGGAAAGAGAAAAAGAGTAAAAGTAAAAGTACTTTTAGTTTTGGGTCTCCTAGATCCAGAATGAGCTGCTGTGAAGTCCCAATTGTGTCAATTCTTGAAAAGTTTTACATAGGGGGTACTGAGAGTTATCTGGCCCTACCCTGGGATCTTGTAATTGACAGGCCCTGCTTATTTCCCCAGGCAGTTTTGCCATACCCTACCTCCTACATTGATCCTCCTGCTTCAATCTCCACAGTTCTGGGATTACAGGTATGCAACACCATGCCCAGTTTAGTATCACTGAATTTAATAATCAAAACAATAATATGAGTGAATGCTTTTGCTATGTGCCAGGCGCTGTTGTATGCACTGTAAAGAATTACTTCATTTAATCCTGGCATAGTGGCCTACACCTATAATCTCAGCACTGGGTGGGGTTGGGGTGGGGCTGAGGCAACATTGCTGGGAGTTCAACTATACAGTGGGTTCAAAGCCAGTTTGAACTACATAAAGAAACTCTGTTTCAAAAAAAACAAAAAACAAAACACAAATACCCTGTGATATAAGTCTTATAATAATCTCACTTTGAAAAAAAAAAAAAAAAACACCTCAGACTTAGAGAGGTTCAGTGAGTTGTCCAAGCATCTGGCTCCAAAGTCTACACTGCTAAGCACTGCAATCTGCTGCCTCCTATATAGGATATTTCTACCCAGCTCTCAGACATCTTGGACAATGTCAATGGTGTCATCAACCGCTTCCAGGAAGAAGTGGGATATGATTTAAAAGAAAAGACAAAATCTTACCAGGTGGAACAAAAGGGCAAGAAGAGATTCATCTTGTTAGAGAAAATTGCTTCCTTCTCCAAAGATGCTAAGACTAAAGAAAAGCACCTGAATGAAATCCTCCGCTGGCTGGGTGACTGGGGTGAGTCTGCAGGCCGGGTACAGCTGTCAGTGTGGGTGCTTCCCTCCAAGACACTGGTCCCTGCTCACTCAGTCTCTTCCTTTCTCTACCTAGGTCAGCATTTGCTGGGAGGGGAGTGTGAGTGGTCAGGGGGACAGCAAAGGACACACTACAATATCCTCTCCCTGGGGATAGCTTCTCCCACTCATGTCACGGCATATTGTCTCACTCCACAGAGGCGAACATGTAACTGTCCAAAATGTAATAGCTCATGACATTAGCTGAGTAAATAATGAAGTCTAAATCACAGGCCCATTATGATATCTCAGCTTTTTTAGCAGATGGAAAATGAATTCAAGCCATTTGTTGAGGAGCCAGTGTGATATGGAAAGCATTGAATGACCTTACTACATAGGCACTGATGGCAGCTACATGCAACTGGCACCACCGCTCAGGGGTAGAACATGGGTGCACAGCCCCAAAGCCAAGTGCTGCCCCTGCTCAGATCTGAGTCCTAACGGCCTGTGTGTGACAAAGCGTGCTGGATCCTGAAGTGTCAGAGGAAGTGGGGCTGTGTCCTATCTGTTCCCTCTGCTGTTGCCTAGGGAGTTCTCAGAGCACTAGTCCTTCAGCTGCCCTCAAGAGCTAAGACAGCCTTAGGCTTGTCTTAGTTTATTTAATCGTCCAGATGTTAGATGAGGCAATGGGTAGAGAGCAATAATAAGACTGGTATCTCCTTGACCTTGTAATACAGTAGTTAATGTCTAATGTGTATTTCTACATGGCAGACTCATATTAATGATTTCACATATATTATCTCATTTAATCGTTACCCAAAGCTTTTATTTATTTATTTTTTTAATTTTAAAAATAAAAGGAAGAAAACATTAACAGACAGACAACCTTTTACAAAATAGCAAAAGAACATTACAGATAATACAGAGTTACAAACAAAGTGGTAGGAAATTAACAGTGCTTGTTTATTACATATTGATATCTTCAAAGTGGTTTCTTATGAAAACAAATAGAGACATGCAACATTGATCAATCAAGGACTCACTGACGGTTTCTTTCAGCAAAGAAATAGAAGACAGTAGAACAACTATGTTAACTATCATGTATATACATACAAAATTTCTCATTCTTTCCCTTCTCTTTTCCCACATCCCAGTTGCCCTTTACCCTTGAGTGTTTTCCTATCATTTCACAATGTCTATCATACCTCCTAGTTTAAATTAACTCTTTCAGATTTTACACTAGTGAAACAATGCGGTGCTTGCACATGCAGTTTGATTTATTTCAATTATGAGTATGGTCTCTAGTTGTGACCATTTACCTATAAAAGCCTCGAGTTTATCTTTCTTTATAGATGACTAACATTCCATTATATAAAAGTACCACAATTTTCTAACCCAATCCTCGGTGGATGGACATTTGGGTTGCTTCCACAATTTAGCAATTACAAACTGTGCTGCTATGAACACAGGTGCACATATATCACTGTGATATGATGTTTTTAGATCTTCTGGGAAAAT